TTTTTTTTATTTTTTATTTTTTATCTTATTAGTGGGTAGCCCAAGCATAAAATAAATATTTGTATAGTCAAATAAAATTAATGAGCTCTACTGAGTCTGTGGCTTTTTGTTTTTTTAAATAAAATGATCTCTTTTGTTGTTCAAACTGTGGTATATATGGCATAATTGATAATTTGCTTTTTTTGTCTTTTATCATTTTCATTCATCATTTAAAATGTAAAACTTTTAATATTTAAAACATGTAATACATTTCTAAGCATTATTTTTACAATTGTAATTTGAACTTTACAGTTCAAATCTTCAGAGACCTCATAAAAATGCACAGTGTGGCTCATATATAGCACAAATTATTTTCACATTCACATTTCAAGCTGAGATCCTTTAGGATTACACCCGTCTTCCACTTCTGAGGCTTTTATGTGATGATCAACACTTACAGATTTCTCCACAGATGGTGAATGCAGCATCGTGCTGATCTACAAAGTGATAAACGCTTCATTGGTTTTGATTTGTTGTTCATTATTTTAACAGCATGAGAAACGAAACAGTTGATCATGGAAAAATCAAGTCTCTCCCTAGAGATTTTCATCACTTACACTTCAAGACACTAGAATTTACTTACGGCTGACTCCGATTGAACATCACAAAAAGAGAAGAAACATAAATATTAAAATCTGAAACTTGTAAAGACAAGCGGCCTCTTAACATTAAAACTAACGTTACTTAGCGTTAGCATTTATAACATGTTATCAGAAAGCAGTTCTTAAAGTTTGAGCAACCTACCTTAGGTTTCTCCCGCTTTCTTGACGATATCATTTGTAAGTTTTTGAATCCACATTCATGTAAATATAGTTATAAATTTCCACCAGTAAAAACTAAATCACAGCAGCAGACTGCTGAATCCGCACCGGTCATAGTTTCTATGGTTACTTACCAGAAACAGAAGCACGTGCGCGAAACAGCCATTGGTTTGCTAGTGCTAATTGTTTCCTTGATTGACGTTAGAGGGGCTGCAAATTTAATAGTGCAAGTGTTTTGAATCATCACTGTAGAGATTAAAGGCTAACTTTACCCTTTATTGTATGAGATTATTAAATTATTTTCGTATTAGTGAGCTGTGTCTCCCCCTGCTGTAAAAACGGCAAACTGTAAAGTCAATTTTAATGCAGTCAGAAAACAGAAATATCTATAAAATCTATATTTGGATATTGAATCAAAACCGAATAGTTATTAAAATAAATCCCGAGTGACACATGTTCAGCTGCTGTAGGTTTTGTTTATTGATATAAAAAAAAATATTTGCACAAGAACAACTATACATAGCCTAGTAACAAAATTTAAAAATATATAAATTGATCAATAATTATAAACCTTATCACCTTCCAATGTAGTGTTTTACAGGAATACAGCATTTAGCACATCAGGCTCACTGCATATTAAACACAATAGTGGCAATATGACATGCTAAGTTATATGATAAATGTTTACTACACCTGGAACAGAGTTTGAGTTATCAGTTGATTTGATTATATTTCATATAGTTAAAAAAAAAAAGATAGTCTAAAAAAATCTAAAAAAAAAACAAAAACAAGACCAAACAAAAGGATACACAAAAGTTAATACAGAATCCAGTGTCTCCACTCAACCTGGAAAAGTTCATTCAGGCATTTATAAGCACTTTTCAATTGTCCTTTTCTTTGCTCATCCATGCAGAGCTCTTACATTTGCCCCCCCCCCCATACTCTCTTTTTTTTTAAATAAATACTTGTCTAGATACACATCCAAAGTTTCACTTGACTAAAGTCTTATTTCTCGTTGCACACAATTTCTTAGTGCTGCTATGTAGATATATTTGCAAAGACACTTTAGCTTCCAAAATGCTATATTTCACTTTTTTCACACTTTTAGGTTTTAATTGAGCTTTAGATCATATTTATTTATTATTTTCATTTATATTTCACATTTGTGTAGATATTTAAATCTTCAGATCGCAACACAACCTACTGATATTTCAAGGGATATAACTCCACTTGGCACATACACATACACATATTTGGGCACCTTTGCTATTACATAAATAACATAAATTACTTAGATTTTGACAAGAGGTGTATACTTAACATGTAAAACTCATCCTGCCCATTTATTTGTTTTTTAACTAGAGCTGTTAAAGCACAAAATGAAAGCTCCAAGCACCACGGAACTGAGCAGAAATTTACATTTTTTGCTGCGTGTCTGTTCATCATCAGCTTTTTAATATATTGTCGGGAGGTTATGGACGTTTATGCTGGATTTGGACTGACCAGACATTTGAAATGACCGGTAAAACAATGACAGTGAGTAATCGAGATCTTTTAGGTTTTATCATGTGGCTGCTTGATTGATAAATATGCAAATACATAAAACACAAAGCTATCAAAATATAGAATATGTACACGTTGCATATCCTGTCAAAATTCTCCTATAATAACTGAGAAAATTGAAAAGATTGAACTTTTTAAGCCAGATATCTTGTTTAGATGATCATCTGTGCATTAGAGATGGACTAAATGGTTTAGATGGATCTCAGTGTCATCTACATTCAGCTCAAGAAAGCAAGGAATCAGAGATATGCATCAGACGAAGATTTTTAAATGAAAACATTCTTATATAACCACAATTATGATACATTCGTAAACTTGCAATTTTAATCGTACTTTTTGAATAATTAAAACATCATTCCTCCATAACTATGAGTATTCAAGTTTAAAAATTAGAGATTTCAAGAATTTTTTGAAAAAAATGTACAGTTATGATTATCACGCTGTGAAAACTTTTTATTAGGTTAACACACTTTATCATGCAAAAATAAATGTAGGCAGTAATGAGCACCTTGTGACTAACACTGACTTTTTAGTTAGTATTACTAGTAATGGTGGAGAACTAGCCACCGGTATAATAAAAAGAAGAATGTACTGAAGCAAATGTCAAGCCACAAAAGGTTTCTTGGCAGTTTGGAAGTACTGGTTCTGCCTAAGATATGGAGTCAAGACCAAAGTATGAGATTAGGGCTGTGCAATATATCAAAATTATCGAAATATCGCAAATGTACATATCGCAATACACATATCGCTACAGCTTGCAATATTTGGGGCCATGAACAAAAGACAAAGAGAAAATCACTCACTGCTCTTATCACAGAACTGACTCAGCAACAGCTGAGTAAAACTGTTTCATCTGAGCATGTGGCACTTTAAGCATTATCGTATCGCATATCGAATATCGCATTATTTAATGAGTTATCACATATCACATTTTTCTTCAATATCGCACAGCCCTATATGAGATAGTGGAATGGTCTGTGATCTAGAAGCGCACAGAGCTTGGAAAATAGCACCTACTCACTAGAAACAAGTACCAATACTGGTAAGTGTGCGTAATTATTCAAAAGAATAGTTCACCCAAAAAAATGAAAATTTGCTTATAATGCACTCATCCTCAGGCCATCCAATTTGTAGACGAGTTTGTTTCTTCATAGGAACAGATTTGAAGAAATTTATCATTACATCACTTGCTCACCAATGGATCCTCTGCAGTGAATGGGTGCCGTCAGAATGAGAGTCCAAACAGCTGATAAAAACATCACAATAATCTACAACACAACTCCAGTCGATCAGTTAACATCCTCTGAAGAAAAGTGGTATGTTTGTAAAAAAACAAATCACTCATTTGTAAGACTGGGCTCTTGTGAATTACTTTTGAATTATTGTGATTATTGTCATCAGCTGTTTGGACTCTCATTCTGACGGCACCCATTTACTGCAGAGGATCTATTAGTGAACAAGTGATGTGATCACTGCAAAAAATGGCTTATCTTACTTAGTATTTTTGTCTTGTTTTTAGTCAAAAAAAAAAAATAATAATAATAATAATCTTAAATCAAGATACTTTTACTAGATAAGCCAAATGACTTAAGATATTTAGTCTTGTTTCCAGGGGGAAAAAAAAAACTAAATTAAGCGCATTTTGCTTAAAACAAGTAAAATTATCTGCCAGTGGGGTAAGTAAAATATTCTTAAAACAAGAGTATTTTACTTACCCCACTGGCAGATAATTTTACTTGTTTTAAGCAAAATGCGCTTAATTTAGTTTTTTTCCCCTGGAAACAAGTCATTTGGCTTATCTAGTAAAAGTATCCTGATTTAAGAATTTTTTGATATTTTGACTAGAAACAAGACAAAAATACTAAGTAAGATAAGCCATTTTTTGCAGTGATGCTAAATTTCTCCAAATCTGTTCCTATGAAGAAACAAACTCATCTACACCTTGGATGGCCTGAGGGTCAGCAAATTTTCATTTTTGGGTGAACCATTTCTTTAACCAAGAGTGGAGTGACCCCGGAAGTGGTCACATTATAGTGGTGATTTAACTGCAATGGTGAAATATTGTACAGTCTTAAACACAGAAACAACATGATTATCAGTGCTCCAAATAAAAATTAAAGTCAACCATTTTACCCTGTTTTCACATCCCAGAAATTTCCAAGTGTATTTCACCCCTTTAAATGTGTTCTTTATACAGATAGACACACCTTTAGGGAGTCTTAAGTGACGTCTTAACCTCTAATGAACTTTTTCCTTTAAACCTTGTTTGCTTATTATTTACATACTGTAAGTAATGCAAATATCGTAGGATGATATAAAGGAAAAATCCTAATAAATAACAAAAAAGTGCAAAAGTCAACAAATGAATTAAACACAACTCGGAAGCCACACCTTAACACTGTTGCAGTTAAAAAAGCAAATAAGTGCATTCAATCATGTAAACTTAGAAACAAAGCAGCAACATGAAACATTATCAAAAAATGTGAGAAAATGTTGTTCAATGTGTGAAAAAGCAACAACCTGTAGGCGACAGTCTGTCTCTTTGCACCCGAATTCACGATCTGAAGACATGCACGGCTCGAACAACGTACTGTCGGCAGATGGGACACTCGTTCATGTGTTTCCCACACTTGCTGCATGTGACCATGTGGCCGCACTCCAGCAGAACGCAGTCAATGGGGGAGTCCATGCAGATCTTGCACAGGTTCTCCTCCTGGCCGCTGGGCTCAGCAGGATCAGCTGGAAGAATGGTGAGAAATTCAATTATGTGGCACAAATTTAGGAACTGCAATTTTTAATATAGCATTTTGGGGCTTATTGCAACAGTATCCATTAAACATACCCGCTTCTGTTTTTGTACTTGAACCTGAAAGGAAAGGAAAGTGCAAAAACATCAATTTCAGTAAATTTGAAGAACAACAGTATATACACAATAATGATTTAACTTACAGTACCGTTCAAGAGTTTGGGATTGTTAAGATCGGCAAGATATTTTTTTTCAAATAAGACTCATGCTCACCAAGGCTACATTTATTTGATCAAAATACAGTACAATCAGTAATATTGTGAAATATTATTACAATTTAAATTAACTGTTTTGTATTTTACTATATTTTAAAATGTAATTTATTCCTGTCACTGCAAAGCTTAATTCTCCAGTCTTCAGTAGCATGAGATATTTTATTATACATTTTTACATCAGTATATACACTCACCGGCCACTTTATTAGGTACACCTGTTCAATTGCTTGGTAACACAAATTGCTAATCAGCCAATCACATGGCAGCAAC